GGGGGGGGGGCAACTGTTTAAAGTTCTATTAATTACATTTCTGTGCTTCTGAACAGAACTTTTTTATTTTTTGGTCTATTATTTGTCTTTTAACTAATATTGAATTTCTTGCCAATCTTGTAAATGCGTTTTTTTTATTTTTAGGTGGAATGCACAAATCGATCGAAAGCTTTTTTAACGCTCCGGGATGAAATCAATTTTACTCCAGAGGCCGAGGACAACGACAGCGACAAGTCACCTTTTGAAATTTTCAGAGTATTCCCCATTAAGATAACAAGAAGAAAGAGAAAAAAAAGACATGACTATGAATATAATGATAGACTTAGAGGTAGACCCACTCGTCGTAATGGTGGAACTGGTAGCTATGGACCCAGGGATAGATCCGATAACCATAGACGTGGTAATAGACCTGGTAGCAATGAATCTAGTGGTAGAGCTGGGAGTGATGCTCCTGATAGCGATGAGTATGGTAGCCATGGGCATAGTAGTTATGATGATCACCATAGTAACTATGACAATAGTGACAGTAAATATGGTAGAAGCGGTAACGTAAGACCTCTACCTGGCTTTGATTATTTATACGACGTGGTTATGGGTATTTGGCCCTATGAGGCCAAGAACAGCAAAATGCCCGAACCGGGTCCTTATAATTCGTATTATTATGGACCTGGTGGTTACCAGCTATACATAGTGGGTGGAACTCGCCCACCACCACCAGGTAGACCTGGTAGCTATAAAAATGATAGTAAACAATTTCATCATTACAGTGTATTCAGATACTATACTAAAGATCCTTATCCAGTGAAACCTCCCGAAGTTGACCCAGAAAATAACCCAAATTTTACCATGACATACTTGCATGGTGGACCGTCTACTGGCAGAGTGCTGAGTTATGATCTGTACATAAGGTTGGAATTTGAAGGCGATGCAATGCTCTTCTTTAAGATATTTGGAGAGCCTAAGGACGCATATGGTGCTACTACCAAGAAAGCGCCAACTGTACCTGTTGGACCTGATGGTTTAACTCTAAAAGAATATTGGGATTCTATAATTTTTGATTATGATGTCACTAAACATAATATTGGTCGTACAGGAAGTGGTGGCGAAAAATCTATCAGTGATAATGATTATAAACAACCCAACTATCCGGACTTCGACGATATCGACGGGTTATCTATAAGGCCATACGAACAAACCGGCAAACGGTTGCATGAACAGAGTGTCTATGGGAAGCCAGGAGAGGGCTTGTTGCAAAGTGTGGTGGACAATACCATGAAGGAACCTCGTCTTATTGAGGACTACGAGCATGATACTGTGAGTGCTGCCCAGCGTCCGGAGTCGGTGACGGCGCTCGCGTGCGCCATTGTTCTTCTCGCGGTTGGTTAGCACTAGGAAGACCGTTATTTTGAACTACCTGTAAAGACCAAGTGGGGTCAAATGATTCTGTCATAGTTCTTATTTATTTATTTGTGTTACGAAACTTCAAAATTGGTTTACATTAAATAACTTAGTACTAAACAATAAAAAGACAAAATGTATTAGATTTGTTTTGCCAAATGTTAAAAGCAACGAATGTGATATATTATTGAATGGTGAGAAATTGGAGTTTGTAAAAGAGACAACAAGAGAGACAATGGGGTCCTCACATTACATCATTAGCGGGACGATTGAGCTCTGCAGCTTATGCTGTCTGGAAGATACGACAGTTAACTGACATAGACACGGCAAAACTAGTGTATTTCAGTTACTTTCATAGCATTATGTCGTATGGCATTTTGCTGTGGGGACACGCTGCTCACATTGAGTCTATCTTTATCTAACAAAAGCGCGCCGTCAGAGCTATCTACGATCTAGGTCGTCGCGAATCTCTCAGAGAAAGGTTTAAGGAGATCAACATTATGACCGTTCCATGTCAAGTTATTTATGAAAACATTATGTATGTTAGGACCTACAGTTATTTGGTAATGTGTCGGACAGACACCACTATCAAACTAGACATAAGAATAGATTAAGTCAGCCAATTTCGAGATTAGCGAAAGTCGTTCATGGGATTCTGTGTTAAATGTTATAATAAGATACCAGGCGATATACAACAACTAAATGAATCTAAATTTAAATTATGTATAAAGAAAACTTTATGTAGACAAGCATATTACAAACTTAATGAATATATGGAGGATAAAAATGCTTGGATGCAGGCTGGTCCGGCTCCACAGGATAACTAAAAACACTTGTTTTAATGAAATCGTAAATAATACAGTCATATTGCTAAACAATATACAATTGTTTAACTTAGATAACCATTGTAAATGTGAGAGCCCTGATTGGTAGAATTCATTTGTGTCAGCTTGGAGTTGTCATGCTCACTCAAAGGTCTCATTGGCGGTGGCGCGTGCAGTGGATCGCTCGATTCCCTACACTATGAGGTGCCTTGGGGTAATATCGGACGGATTTTCGAATAGTTGCAAGGATGTTGCAAAAACTTTTTTTTCTGAATATTGGTATACAGCACATTGATGACAAATAGTGGAATCACTAATGATTAAACACAGTGTAATTTAAAATTTAATTTGTTTATAAACACTCAATACTTTTTGCTTTGTAAGCCTGTAAAATCTGAACATATTTTTGTGAATGCAATGACGATTTGGCTACCAAGGGGTAAGTTCGGAAAACAATTTAAAACTAGTCCTATGGCTAGGAGCAAAAGGTGTATGAAAAGAATGTATCCGATCTTTCCTGTTCTTTAACATGACATCAAAAAAATGTACCTAATACTACAGACCAGACATAGATGCACTGTGCTGCATTCGGCCAATAAAATAGATCGTCAACCTTTTTTTGTGAGTTCATAGTTACAACCATCGGCTTAATTCCGTAATTTGTTTTTTAACCCAGTAGTGATGAAGTCGTGTGCGAATTGCGGTATTAATTTCAATGATGGGGTGCAGTGTATGGGTTGCAAGAAGCATCTAGATTTTTCTTGTGCTAGTGTGTCTGAGACGACATGGAGAAAAATGGGGTCGGACCGAAGAGCACAGTGGAAATGCCTCGCTTGTAAGTCGTCACCTGTACCTCTCTCACCACAGCCTTCTGCCTCGTTGGATACAGTGCTGAGTGAGATTCGCGAATTGAGGCAACAGTTATCAAGCCTACCAACCTTAGTCAGCAGTATAAAGTCTATCAAAGAAGAATTGATTGAACTTAAGAAGAGTTTTGAGTTCTCCAGCGGTAGACTTGATGATTTTGACGCGAGGCTTGTGGAGTTGGAAGTGAAGGCATCTGAGTTTGATAATCTAAGGGACACCGTGTCTTCGTTACAAGCAGAAGTGGTTTCAACAAGATCTGATTTCTGTTCTTTTGATCATAGAACGAGACTGAACAATGTCGAAATTAAAGGTGTCCCCGTGAAGAAAAATGAAAATCTGTTTTCGGTTCTCGATGCCATCAGTAGCAAAATAAATTATAACTGTCCTAAGACCCAGATAAACTACATCTCAAGGGTACCCATACATAATTCTAAGGAGAAATTGGTGATCGTGAGCTTCTTAAACAGGTACATAAAAGATGATTTCATAGCGGCAGCTCGTGCTAATAAGGAGCTTTCTACCAAGGACATAGGTGTTCAGGGGCCGCCACATCGCATATATGTCAACGATCATCTTAGTATAGAATATAAAAAACTTTTAAATCGAGCTAAAACTGCCGCCAAAGAAAAACAATATGAATTCGTCTGGGTGAAGCACGGTAAAATTCACGTAAGGAAGGATGTTAACTGTAAAACCTTCATAGTTAGGCGTGAATCCGATTTAAACAAAATTATTTAGTCTGTTATTATTTACATTTAGTTTCTGGATTGCCGAGTTTCGTTAACTTTTCTAAAAAGTGTCGATGTCGTCACAATAAATTTAGTTTACTTAATTTTAGTAAAAGGTTTAGCACCTCTGCATTGATAATGATTCAATTTGACGTTCCATTTCGCAGTACTTGTAGACGAGATCTGGTACATACATTTTATATATCCGCCTCACTCACGCATACGCGAATGGTATGCTATTGCTTGCTTGCTCTCGTGATCATGTTCGCCCAGATGTTAGATTATATAAAAATTCCATTTACTTTTATTTACTTATACCTGCAATATAATTTATTAACTCTTGAATGTTTAACATTTAATTGCCCCAATAATTATTTACTAATACGATTATTCTATGTTGCTTTTGTTGACTACTCGATTATTGTTATTAAAATATGCAATGGTTAATAGCAGTGCATTAAAAATATTCTATCAAAATGTTCGTGGACTTCGAACAAAAACTAATTCCTTCTACCGTCAGCTTCTACAGAGTTCTTATGATGTTATTATCATAACGGAGACGTGGTTATTGGATGGAGTACTAAACTCGGAGCTTTTTGATGGTCGCTATTTGGTATGGCGCCGTGACAGAGATTATGTTATGACCGGCCAAACGAGAGGTGGTGGTGTACTTATAGCGACGCGCAGGGAATTGTCAGTCACTCCAGTATCACTTTTGCATTCATCAGCGGAGGATCTCTGGATCAAATTGCAGCTTAAGAATTCAGGGTCACGAGAATACGTCAATTTATATATTTGTGCAGTGTATTTGTGTAAACAAAATAAAGGGTTATCATTCTCGCAACAGCTTAGCAACTTCCTTTCCAAATTAAACAATGCAATTCTACATAGAACAAATACCGACGTATTTTTAGTCTTAGGGGATTTTAATATGAGTGGTATCACGTGGATACCTTTTAATGATCATTCTATGGCCCCGTTAAATCCCACCACTAGTGATGAATGTTTATTTGTTGATGAGCTATCTACAATGGACTTAGTACAGTTTAATGGGATTGCTAACGGGTATGGCAAGTTTTTGGACTTGGTCCTCTCAAATAAGTTAGCCTGTGTTAGTGAATGTGTTGATCCTCTAGTACCTATTGACCCGTATCATCCTGCATTATTAATTAATATTGATATCTTTGAAATACCTCCCCTTGACCATGCGCCGCGCTTGC